AATCCCAAATAACCCTAAAAAGAAAACACTAGAACAATAAAAGACTTGGAATCTCCACTGCCTTAGCACTCTCGATTCAACATTACAGAGACTAGAATATGGTGATTTAATTTGGTTTAAAAATAGAGACAGTAAAAATTAATTATTTAGAATTTTTAGAGCGAACCTAATCCCAAACAACGCTAAAAAGAAAACACTAGAACAATGAAAGGCTTGGGATCTCCATTGCCTTAGCACCCTCGATTCAACGTTAGAGACCAGACTAGCACTAAACAGTAAAATAAGAAAAGATGTGTACCTCCATTACCTTAGCACTCTCCATTCAGCACTACCGAGACTTGATAAAAATAAAAAACACGAATTTTTGTTACAATAATACTTAGCAAAATGAGTGGTTTATTGAAGATCCGATTTCCTGGCACATATGCCGTTAAAGTTTTAGAAAAAATAGGTTTTAACGGTCATAACTCCAAGAAATAGAACCTGCATAAACCGTTTAAATGGACAGACCAAAACACCGGAGAGACCCAAAGGCACGGCGGGTGATGTTCCAGTCAATTCGAACCTTTACGGAATCTTGGCCAAGCCTCGACCCTCCGATACCAGCTTGATCCTCCATTCCTGAGACATTTGTTCCTTGGAACCCTGGCCAGACCAAAAATCACCGGGCTACAGGGCGACCCAGCTCAAAAAGAATCAGATTAAGAATTTGACGGTGTCGTCGAGAAAAAACCATTCGACGACGGTTTGTATTTTTCGAGTAACGAGGCAACCCGGAAAACAAGTTTATATGCCTGCGTTTTTCAGTTTCAAGAGGAGAAGGAAAAATATAAAGACTTTCACTAGTAAAAGCTTTATATTGGTGGTTAATTAGCAAGGCGACATCGGAGGCTGAGAATAACCACATAGTTTTATGACGTTCCGATCGGACAATTTAACGTAACGTCTTCTGCCACATTCCCTCCACTCAAGGACCAGCGTTTACCTGCCCTTTCCGGTCCAAGAGTGTCAGATGAGCCCAACCCACTGCACCCCTTTACAAGCCTCCTAGTCCTCTAATTGAGCTGAGCCCCACTCCCCAGACACCCTTTACGTTTAGGACAACAACCCGGCCCCATGGGATAGCCTGCATAGCATGTTAAAGCTTACGCCCGGTAATGGAGCGGTCGAATAACATACCCACTGGCAAACTACAACGCAACGAGCACCTGGGAACCCCGGCCTGTTACCGGGGCTGTAATAATATGAGAACGAATCCAGGGCGAAACAGTCCCAGGCCTCCGAGACTGGCCCCTCGCGACAGTCCCCACAGCCCACAGATTGCATCGCAACCACCCCGCAACGCTGCTTTTTGGTGTCTATCGATTTTAGAAAAATACGAGCACTAAAAAGTACTCGTGTTTATTATATTAAAATACTAGCACTAAAAAGTACTGGCATTTATTACATACTTCATTCTGTTAAAGTGACATTAACTTAATTTAATAATTATACTTTCAAGTGTAGAGATGAAAATCTCTGTTTTCATGGATAAAAGTCTATAAACATTTCTTATAGATTTTTATTTGCGTTAGAGAAAAAGAGTGACACTTGTGATATTGAACCCAGACTAAGTAAAACGACGGATTAATCTAACACGAACTCAGCGGTCATGTCTTTAGAGCCTGATAGTAGAGACATTAAACCGCACGCTTACTAGCTGGGAGCGTTGATGGATTTTCACGTGATAGCATTCCATGAGCCGTCTGCATGGGTAAAGTAAGTGTAGTTTGGTAATAACAATTGTGTGTCCCCATTCGATTGCGATCTGAAAAGAGAAAAAAAAAATACAAAAAGACCCCAAACAACCCTCTGGCTTTTAATAATATACATATAATCTTGAATAATAATCAACGAATAGAGTTATTGAAAGGTAAAATAAGAAATATGTATATGTAAAACTAAAAATGTGAAATAAATATACCGGGTGTCTCAGTATTCGCGCTTCAACAAAACACCTCAGTTATACAGGGCATTAAAGAGTGTAGGTCTTTTTAACTTTTAACTACTCTATGTGGTAGGGAAAAAATGTTTATAGACAAAAAAGTTTGCAAATTAACAGATATATGCATTAGAAAAATATTTATTTACCAATTGGTAGTAGAATAAAAAATATATAGTAAAATATTACAAGTTAAGTAGCTGCGTGAACCCCTTGTATACCGTACATCCAAATAATTATTATCAAATTAAAAATAATTTAAAAAAAAAATCATTAAGAAATAGTATAATAAAAATAAAATTACAATAAAGTAACCTGGAAATTAACATGATTTTAGGAAAATCTAATGAAATTATATCCTTTAAAACAGCTAATAAAAAAATCAGCTGATTATCAATATAAATTTCACTAGCTGTTGTTCATTAAATATTTCACTAATTAAAGCAACTACAGGCAGATATAATTCTGTGTTTTACAGCTTTCTAAACTTTATTTAGATCATTTTATAAAAGATTTTATACATATGTATTCTTCTATTATATAATATCTTTAGGAAAAACCATATCAAATGCACTACTATTAGAAATATTCTTCAGAAATTCAAAAAATAAAATACTTTTTACACATCAAGCTATTTACGTCTAAAAATAATTTGATAATAAAAACATCTTGTTTAGAAAACTGTCAACCCACAACAATTATATATTTTTATAGCATAAAAAAGGCAAAACTTTTATTTACTGCCTGATAAAATTTCGACGAATCGGAAAAGAAATGACGTTATATTCAGCCAATAGAATTGCTTTTAAGCTGGCCGCTTTAAGAGGGCCCGATTCGTCGAAAAATATCAGGAAATTCATAGGCAAATGGTCGTACTTACCATCTCTCGAGTCCAGCTGGGCCCTACCCGCGATTGTACCGAGCAAAATGTGTAAAGGCGCACATTCACTCCCGGAGTGCAGCACGTCTGGATACAGCACCCGAGCTCAGGTACGACCTGAGCTATATGACGTGTCCAGACCCATACCGATCCTTGGTCCATTCGATCCATTCCATCCAAAGGCAGCCTCGTTTCTTTGCGACTTGAAGATCTTGTATGCTGTGTTGATATTCGTCATCTCCTTCTTCATTGGCAGTGTGGTCCATATCCGTAACCCTGGTCCATAACCATAACAATGGTCCTACAACCTACAATATTAAGTAATAATTACTACCGTATATTAAGTTTCTAAATGTTATTTAGGATAAATACAGGCAGATATAATTATTCTGGTTTACAGCTTTCTATCTATTTATATTATTTTATAAAAAAGTTATTATATAAGTAGGTATTCTATTATATAATATCGTTAAGAAAAACCATATCAACTCACTATACTATTAGAAATATTCTTCAGAAAATTGATTTAATATAATTTATTCACTTATATAAGGTTTTTATTTTTAAAATACTATATACATCAAACTATTTAGGTCTAAAAGAATTTATTTTAATACAGTACAATCGTAAAAAAGAAAATATATCTATTTATAGAGATTTATAGCAACAGAAAGTATATAAAAAAAGAAACAGAAAGATTAACAAAATAAAGGTGGCTTTGACTTTTTTTGTTGATTTTGCGCTTCTACCGGCCGCCTTTAGATGGTCGGATTTTTCGAAAAATATCGAGAAATTCGTAGGACAATGGCCGAACTTACCCTTTCTAGGAATCCAACTATACACTGCACATATTTTTCGAGCACAATATGTAAAGAAACGGCACTTTTAACTCCCAATTAACAAAAATTCTGGAGACGCAATCGACATAGATGATATGTCGTCAACGGTCCATCCAGAAATGACGTAGATCGCCCGAAACGACCAATAATATTAAGTTTTGGCGATCGGTTCATGATTTTTGACCCTAGAGGGAGCGCCAACGCGCGTTTTTCTTTTGTTTTACCGATGGAAAATTATGTATTTTTTTACCTAAATTTCAAGTTCAAATGGAAATTTAGCAATATAACACTACCTTGGAGACTAAACTATTATCAGGGAAATGTAGCTACATGTTTTCCGAATAAAATGACACCAAACAATAAACAAATAAAGTAAAATTCACAAAGATATCGCATTTTTATTACATCAATGTCCGTAATTGTTAATATCATAAAAATAGATTTTTGCCTTAAAAAGGTTTTGAACCTTTAAAATAGTTAAGGAATTATAGATTAACACTAAATATAGTTAACTAGGCAGTTTCAAACCTATCAAACACATATAAATTAGAAAAAAAACAAAAATATGATGGCGGTTCGGTAGCCTTGAATATTCAATTAATATAACAAGGATATAACTTTGTTGTTCGATATTTAACTAACTAATGTAATATTTAGTTAAATAGAGCCTTATTACATCTATAAATCATAAAACAAGATAGTATTACCCCAACATATAACTTCTACAGGACATTTTGTTAGTCAATGTATTGGCCAAGATTTCTTGCTTTTATTTAATTATGCACTGAATTCAAAAAGAAATCTCATTTGACATGATTCTGTGCTATTCTAATTATGTTTTTGTAGATTTTTAATAATTTCCAAACCCTAAAACAACACAAGACTAAAGAAGAATTTTGAGTGTTTGATATATTTTAGTTCATCGTAACATCTTTATTTATAACTTGTGCACACTTATTAAACATAAATCTCTTAATATTATATATTCTTTACACGATTAACAGTAAATATTTAGTAAATACAGTATCTTAGAATCTCTAAATAAGAGAAATTAAAAAATTCTAACACCTATACGGAGTTAAACCAAAAGCAACAGGTTAGATATTTCAATTAAATTCAAAGTAATCTTGTTAAATAACATTCTAGTAAGGCTCTAGAGTATATTATTATATACCAGGTACTCAGTAACTTATGTTTTCCTTTCAAACTGCATGTTTCAGCATTTTTGATAAACTTCCATTATCTAGATTTTTTTGCTTTTACCATAAACATTCTGTACTCAAATAAATAAAACAAGATCTCTCACATGATTTTTTATCATATTAATTATAACACTGTACATTTTAAACAAATTTCAAGCCCAAAACTAACTCGCCCTGTATAATTCAAGTATAATATGGCCTATTTTAGTATGTATATTCATGAAGGAAGGCCCATTCCTGCTGGAAAGCTTCAATAATTTAGTATTTCTCTTGGAATGGCAATTTTAAATCTAAAACTTAAGTGTAAAAATATGTTTGTATCACCCATGTATGTCTATAAAAATATTACTTAAAATGTGTCTTTCTAATTTCTAAACAGTGGATCACTACCCTGACTTTTTATGTAAAATAAAGAATATTGCAAGCTGTTTTTATATCCATTTCTTTCTAAAATATACCACTCTGTCTTACTGGTAACTGGAAAAAATAAAGAAAATTGTAAGACTACACTATTTCTTCTGATAAATACAAATTATTCAACAATGCTATCTAAATTTACTTAATTTTGTTATTTAGTAGTACTTTGTGTATTCTTTTTGTTCTTTTCTTTCTCGAACCATATCTTCAAACAGAGCTGTTCAAGTAAAGCTTATCGTCTTCCAGTTTTCTTCACTGAAAATCTGGACAATGTCTTCAAGTTGGAGATCAACGTGCCATGCTAATAAGTCGCCTGTTTAAATACAAATATCGTAGCGTAGGTCTCTAAACAGAGGGCTATTGCTCTTGCCTAAAAATGTACTCAGTAAAATGTATGTTTATTAAATATAGCGACTTTAGTAGAATTAACAAGTAAAATACCTACCTTGCAGCTCAAGTCTTAATATAAGAGGGTTTTCATTGCTCATTTTACAGCTCCTAAAATATTCTATAAAACTTTTATTAAAAATTATTTAAAATCATATCTATTTTAAGTATTTTTCAATCAACTGCCAATTTCCAATTCAAAATTCAAATATAAACCACAGATAAGTATATCAACAAAAAATTGACAACAAAAGATAGGATATTTGAACTACTACGACCACAGAACACGGATCTATCGATACACCCGTGCCACAGAAGCATAAAGAATGTCCACCATCACTTCCGTTCATTAAACGTCAAACTTGACAAACTTCATTTCTGCCTTCTGCTCTGCCTTCCATTTTGTTATTTGTGTCAGTTTCTAGCATTTCGTACGTACAATTTCCTAGTTTGATGATTGAATATGGCATTAAATGACGAAAAAAGTGCGTCAAATTCAACCAAAAACAATGTAAAACCGTATGGCAAAGTGATTCTCACGCTGAAAAATCAGCTTTTGCCCGAGGAACGGCTCCTAACACACCATCACAAAAAGATGGCTTGAGTCTGGATGCTGAAACAGATTTTGCGCATTTACGGTTGTGAACTGATACAATCCGCCGGGATTTTATTAAAACTACCTCAGGTAAGCACTCAGCTTTAGAAATACTATGTTTTTATTGTATTTATTTCGTTGGGAACTTGTTATTTAACGTACTTTTTGGCCGCCTTCCTTTGTAGGTAGCTATGGCGACTGGACAAGTACTACTTCAAAGATTTTACTATTCCAAAAGTTTAGTACGCCACCCAGTCGAACACACGGCTATGGGCTGTGTTTGTCTCGCCTCAAAGATAGAAGAAGCCCCCCGAAGGGTCAGAGATGTTATTAATGTGTTCACGCATATTCGACAAGTGAACAATGGAAAGTAAGTACCACTTTATTATACGTAAATACGCATTTTTTCTTTAGTACCATCATATTCTGTTTCTGAACACCTACTAGGGTCAAAATTTATCATTTTATCTTTCAGAAATCTGTAGTTTTTGTTTTAATTTATTGATAACTTTAGGTAACCTAATTTGTCTAAAAGTTATCCATAAACGAAACATTATTATCACTAATTCCCATTTTTTTCTGAAGCATAACAATTTTTGTTTATATTTTTATATATGTATAGTGCCAATTTTTTTTGAGATTGTGGATATAATACTCTATCTTTATTTATTACATATGGGATTCTTATTTAATCCCTTTATTATATAACATTGCCCATGTGGTTTTGATCAGGCTGATTTTAGCTGATATGTTAGGGGCTATGTTATTCGTATATAAGTATATAAAGGTAAATATATAAAATTTGTTTAATTTCAAATCAGGGTTATCGAGGAAATAATCAATATTGTCTTGAATAAATGTAATCGAGTGAGTCAAAGGAATGTAGTATTTTAGTTTCAACTTTTGTATGATTTGTAGTTTTTTTTTATGATTTTTCAGATACTTTGAGGATAAAACAAGTTGAAATTAAAATGTTATACCAGTGATCTACTTATTTATATTTATCCATGATCAAAATAATGCTAGGAACATGTTAATGGTTTTTAAACAAACAATTGATAAAAAGGGGGATTTTAGATGTTCTGTTTGTTGCTATTAGTCATTAAAAGGCTAAATTAACTGTTTTATTTGCTATTTTGTCAGAAATATAGTTTTCTTATATTATTAAAACTTGAAATAATGTATTCTGTAATTGTTGAAGTATCAATTGACATTGTTTATTAAAACTGGTTAGGAAAAATTATTTAAAAATCTCTGTAGGACAAATTATTCTTTCAGTAAGAAGTAACACATAAACTTGGTTTTATTCTGTACGATTCAGATATTAGAAAATACTCAAAGTATATTGTTATTACAGACTGTGTCCCAAAAATCTGCTCACATTGTACTGGGTGTGTCTTGAAAAAACACATCACCCCTAAGAAGCTGTGGGAATCTGCATTAAATCGCTTAAAACGTCTCTGAAACCAAGCGAGACTAAAAATCGATTATTGGTGAGCATTGGTTTTGATATGGTTTGACCGTTTTTGGATTTGTTCTCAAATTGTAAGCGACAAATCTCTGTTAATTAGTATTAGTTTTAATAGAAGGCAAGTATAAATGAAACTCTTAATAACGTATGTCATGTATTACATTTGTTTAGTTTCAGATTTTGTATTTATTTTGGTTTTATAATAATTTATAATAGAATGGGAAAATTAAGGTAGGTTTTAGAAAGAAAAAGGTGGTATATTCTAATACAAAAAGGAACCAGTGTGGTATATTTTTCTTTAAGGCTTTGTATATTGTGTTAAATGAATATTAGGTTATGTTACTCTGTTAAAAAACTTCAAAAAACATCATGAGAAGGAAAAAATAAGTATGGAACACAAGAAGAATTGAAGGGGAATATCAAAAACAGAAGAATTGAAGATAAAATTAACTAAAGACTGGATAGAAACTTGATAAGTCAAAGACGACTTGAAAATGAATTGACATAAAATAGAAGAAGTGTCAAAAATATGTCAAATGTTTGAAGGTAGGCATTTTTGAGGTTTGAGGAATTTTGATACATACATGAAGAAGATTTAGAAACACTTAGTGGGATATGAAGTATTTAAGTGTATGCGTCACGCAACAATAAGCTGAATATGGAGTATAAGTCTTATATTTAATTATTAATATTATATATATTATGATTTTCTAATATTTCTTTTGTCAAAATCTATTATTTATCTCAAATGAAAGTTTAGTAGGTATTGAGGTTAACACTAAGTGGCGGATTCATCTGTCCAAAAAAAGTTATGTATGGGTATTTTGCCATTACAAGAAAATCTACAAAATAAAATAGTTATTTTTCGTAAACGCTGCTGCGTTAATCCAATGGAGACAATTAAAATAGAACGCCAACGGTTTTTGTAGATGTCTCTGTTTAAAAAAAAACTAAAGTGTTCGCAAATAGTTGCATTTAATTTATTATACAGGGTGTTTCAAAACAAATGCGAAAAATGTCAGGGTTGTGATTCCTTGTTCAAAATAAAGGGTAGTTTGCTTTATAAACGTTGGGTCAAAAGTCAACCATTAGGGAGATATCACAGTACAAAGATGGCTGAAAAATAATGTTTTTATTTTTTATCTTGAAAACGAAAAGCGATAGACTAATGAAATTTTATGGAAGCATTACTGTTATGAAAACACACTTTCTGGTAATTTTTCTTTTTTAAAATGAGTGGAAGGGGGTTGAAATAAACTACTCCCTATCAGTTTTGTTAACGAAATTTAAAGAAAAATCTTATCAAACACATGCAAATATTAATTTGGATAGTTTAGTTTGTTTAGAAACTTTTTTTATCTCTTGTGTTTTTTATAAAACTCACTGATTTGAAATTAAAAATAAAATGTAAAGCATTAGGTACATGTCAGGACAAAATATATTTTTAGATAAAGAATCTAGTGGGCTGCTGTAATTTTTATAGGAAAAAATCTAGTCGGCCGCTGTCACTTTTTAGGATGTTTCTAATATTATTTTATTGGACATTACTCTACTGCAAGTTTTGACAGCAGCTGCTGCTGTTTGACAGCAGCCCACTAGATTCTTTATTTAAAAATGTTTTTTGTCCTGACATGTAATGCTTTACATTTTATTTTTTAATTTCAAATCAGTGAGCTTTATCAAAAAAACACAAGAGATAAAAAAGTTTCTAAACAAACTAAACTTTCCAAATTAATCTTTGCATGTGTTTGATAAGATTTTTCTTTAAATTTCGTTAACAAGAAGAATGATAGGGGTAGTTTATTTAAGTTATTTTTCCGCCATCTTTGTACCGCGATATCTCCCTAATGGTTGACTTTTGACCCAACGTTTATAAAGCAAACTACCCTTTATTTTGAACAAGGAATCACCCCTGAAGTTTTTCGCATTTGTTTTGAAACACCCTGTATAGCAAACTATTTAAAATAGTTTTTTTCTTTGTTCTTTGTATTTTTTTTTTGCTTCCGACGACGGAAAGAAAAAACTTTCCGAAACGTTAAGCAGTTTTTTGTTCATTAGGCAAATTTGTTTACTGGTAGACCACTGCTGACAATTAGTCTCTGTTGGATTAACGCAGTAATCCATACAAAAAATAACTATATTATTTTGTAGATTTTTTTGCGAGTGGGCAAATACCCATATAAGACTTTTTTGGGGACATAAGTTTGAATTTTACATCTATCCATGATGTTTTTGACAATGACAGCTCTGTGTTTTAGTGTTCTTGTTGAATCTTAAAACTAATTTAAAATAATTAAATTTTTCAGAGACAAAAATCAAGTGTTTTAGGAATATTTTGTTATTGTAATTTAAATGTCTGTCAAAAAGTATCACACAGTTCTTGTCAAGAACATCTGGTGTAGATAAGATAAGGTGTAGAAAAGATTTAACTGAATTGTTAGTTTTATGGGTACCATGACGTCGTTTTTTACAGTTAAATGCAAGTTTAAGAAAATTCAACGCTAAATTAATTTTCTGATTTTATTATTATCATTACTATTATTTCAAGTGGTATATAAGTCGTAGTCTCATAGTGTATTCCGTCTTTTCGTGAAGAGCCTAGTCACTTAATGAAAAGAACTAACCTAATAAGATAACTAGGATCTTCATGAAAAAACGGAATTCACTATGTGACTACGGTATATATAAATTTTGGTGTAATTTCCCATATAAGTGGTATTCATTATCATCATTTTCAACTTATTCAACTGTATCCAATTATGGTGTTGGGCCCATTGTTCTATTGTTGGCTATGCAGGCACCAGTTATCCCTGCTTATTTTCCTGATATCATGGTCCCATCTCAGGTTCGGTCTTCTTCTAGGCCTCTTAATTCCTCTGGGGTGACATGCTGTAATTTTTGTGGTCCATCTTGCCAGGTATCCTACCTATATTGCCACTTGAAGGATTTGATTCTGTGGCTGACATTTATTATCTGGGTCTTGTGTCCTATCCACTCTATTCTTTTATGGTCTACCTTGGTTATTTCCAGCATATTTCGTTCCATTGGGCGTTGTGCGATCTGTAGTTTCCTTATAATGACTTATAGGACATGACTGGTAGTACTTTCCCATATAACTGGGATTATATGGTGGTAAATGATAATATGTGGTCTGTCATTATTAGACATATCATTTGTTCATATAAAGCATTGTCTGTCCAACAAGAAGACATGACAGTCACATTCGTTGTTATCTGTCATTTTAATTCGCATATAAATTGTATTTTCTGTCATTTTTATCAATAATTGATATCGTTTAAAAAAACATCAGCTGCAAAGGAATATATGACAGTCAAAGATTGTCTGTCATTTTTTTGAATGTCCATCTGTCTAAAAATATACAGGGCATCTCAAAAGACCGCCCAACGAAAGAAAAGAATCAATTTCTAGAGATAACGCCAAAAATTGACAAAAGACAATTTACTGTTGAATTAAAGTGACATTTTTTTCTGACAATATTGGAAAAGATATGACAATATAAATTTTATATTCCAGTTGCTATTTTTCCTTGCACAAAAGCCAGTATCTGAGACGGCTCCACAGAGGCCAGCTCGCCATCTTCTATCCAACTCTCCATCTTCGACATTTTCTACATTTCCTGATCTACAGCTTGACGTTATTATATTAAATTTTTAATTTTTTTTTGTGGTTTATTATGAAAATATTGATATTGTAGAATACTGGCTTTCATTTTATACAGATTTAAGTGCAGTTCATATGTTTCTAACGGTCTTTCATGCATATCTTTCTGTCTTTCATTCACATCCTTGGATTAGTGTAGTCCAGTCACATTTTTTATTTAATACTACTTATGTTATGGGGTATACTTTGAAGTAAGGTTAAGCAATAAAAAACAAGCACGTAGCCACTATACAATGTGTCCCAGAAATAAGTGCAAGTATTTTAAATGGTGGTATAGTTCAACCCCAGAAACACGTCTACGAGGTTTTTTTCGTGAAAAAAAATTTTTGAAAAATTTTTTGAAATTTTTTTAAAAACATAATTTCTTGATAATAGATAGTAGATTCAATTTACAAGAAAGAAAATCCAGAAAAGATCCAGTGGTTCTCAAAATTTGAGCAAAAATCATTTTTTTTTGGAGTAAAATAACTCCGTTATTTTGGACTTATTTGAAAAAACGATAGAGAGAACATATGTTTCTTTTATCGAAATCTACCACCCCTTAAAATACTTGCACTTATTTCTGGGACACCCTGTATACAGCTACAGTCTGTCCATCAAAAAGATACGTGGCTGTGCCATTTTTGTCTGTCATTTTAATCCATAGATAATTGTATTTTCTGTTATTTTTTTTGCATGTAGTCTGCTAAAATGTACCTTGGCTCGTTTGATTATAAAGATCAAAGAAATTCTAGATAATATACAGGGGTAACTTGAACTTGATTTTTTATTGTATTATACAAAATTTTTAGCTGAAAAGGTAAGAATATAATGTTCACTTTTTTGTATTAGAATATCTCCAACACATAAATTTAACTAGTTTATATCAAGACAGAATACATTTATATATTTTTATTTAGAAAAAATTATTGCGTTTCTTGCCTTTTATTAAAATACTGATAATTCCAAAAAATGTCAAACCATATTGACGTCGGTAAAAATGGAAGATAAGAAGACTCGAAGAAAAATCCAGAATGTTTTAGAATTATTTTTGACCATTGTAACCATACATTTTCATTGTCTATTAATTTTTTTAGAGTTTTTTCAGAACCTTATAGCTGTTGTGAGAAAATGGATACTAACGGGATAGACAATAATGTAAAAAGGGCTCGAAAAAAATCATAATAATGATGGTAAGATTACCCTAAAAGTAATAACGATGGTAAGGAACAGGTAACAAGAAAAATGGTGGCATAGTTTAAAATCTTTTTTTATTTAAATCAATTCAAAGTTATGCTTCAGAAAAAAAAACTAAGTTGAAACTTGGAGAACTTAAACTTTATCACCATTTTGTTTAATTTTTTTTTAAATTAATTTTCTTAAAAAACTATTCTTATTATTATGTGACTCCAAATTTCAATTCAATTTTTTTCATTCTTCATCCCAAAAAACAGTATTTTGTTTGTAATAATAACATTTTTGATACAGGAAGAATCAAAAGTTTCTTCCTGTGGTATGTACGCGGTTTCAAGAAAGTTTTATTTTTCACAGTCCTATTCATCCAGTTATTTTGGACCAGAACTATATTCACACGAAAAATTTAGTGATCAAAGCCGAGAGAAGAGTTTTGAAAGAACTAGGATTCTGCGTTCATATCAAACATCCTCACAAGGTAATTTACATATAGAGTGCGGTTTTTTTTTCAAAAAAGATGACTATTCAAGCTCTGGATACAAAGAAACCTTGGATTTTCTAGTCTTAATATGTTATTATATCTGTCATATTCAAATCTTCCTTTACTTATTTTCTGTCATTATCCCACTTCTGGTGTTCACGTTGCGGTGAATCCCAAGGATGTTATTGCCTAATTTTTCATACTAAATTTAGTACATTTTTAATATGAAAGAATAGCGTTTCGATTATGTTTTCCAGCAAAGTTTCATCGTACTAAAAAATCATGGTAATCTCAAAACAATTTCCGATGCACGTGATGAACTTTGAGTGATAAACGATGGTGACAGCGCTGCCAGATTGTGATGGATTTATCTTGAGACGAATATTAATTTATAAGCGACAAACAATATATTTATTATATCATTTTTTAAAGTTTTTTACGTTTTATTTTTAGTTTAATAACTAATATTTTAGTAATTAATTATTGATTTATTTCTTTTATAGCTTATTTTACTTATTACATATTTGCAGAACTAGTCCATTATGAAGATTATTCCAAGCTTTATTATGGGTTATTTATTTATTTATTGATGTTCATCTTACAACGCCATAAGTGGTAATAACAAGTAAGAAGGTGCTATTAATGCACAAACTAATAATCACAGAATTTAATAAAAACTAACTTGGTGAAGTGGTGTAATGTGCTTATCAATCAAACTTACTTCTCTGACTGCCGTCAAGGGTAATAAAGGGCCTTTATTGTCACGTTCTCGTTCAAAATAGTTTATCAGGGAAGCTACAAGCTCTTTGCTTCGACTGTTTAAATGCTTCGGCATATTTTCAACACATAATTTCAAGAAATGCAATACAAAAATTCGAAAATTTAGTTCTTAAAAGAACTGTTCGTGCTTAAAACTGCAATTTAAAAAAAACTACGAAAATAAGCAAAAAACGAGAATTACAAATATTTAACACCAACACGATATTATACAAAATAATTACTGACTGTAGGTTAATTGTCAAATAATAAAGGACAACATTGCTGAACGCGGCGCAATGTGACCAATGTGTGCAGCTTTAATCTAAATAAAATATCTGTTATAATCATTAAAATCTATAATTTATAAAGTAAAATGAAGAGCTGCTTGGTATCTTATATTATACAACAAATTTAAACATTTTTGGCAAAATTTCATTTAGTCAGATCTATAGACTTTAATGTCAATGTCGATATGATTGATGACGTGCATCGGAAAATGTTTTGCGATTACAATACATCTGTCATATTCATTTACTTTTGTAAATCTTCCTTTACTTATTTTCTGTCATTATCCCACTTCTGGTGTTCAAATAAGAGATTTCAGTGAACCCAAGGGATGTTATTGCCTACTTTTTGTACTAAATTTAGTACAAAATTATTTTATTTACTAAATTATACTACTAAAATTATTTTTATTCTTCATAGAGGTCATGTAAGAACCAAAATAGTATGTTTTTCATCTTTGAATTAAATTATTGAGCTTGAATGGTCAACTTTCGCGAAATAGACTATAGCAATAGACCTGCATTAACTATTGTTATTTAATTATTTCTTTTTTCAGATCATAGTGTTGTATCTTCAAGTTTTGGGTTACGAAAATAATCAAAAACTGATGCAGTACTCCTGGAACTACATGAATGACGCTTTAAGAACTGACGTTTTTGTTAGGTAAGATATTGTATTTAATTCTCGGATATTATTCTCGATAGTTCATCCGAAGTTAAGGGACTATAAGGTTAATCTACTGGTATAAGCTGCATTTAGACACTGGCGTAGGCCATTGACATTGCCACGGTCGAGTATCGAGGTTCGGATTTCGCGTAAACAAAATAGGCCTCGTTCAGATTAACCTGGGCAGCGGATTGTACCTTGGCTCGTTCAGATTAACCTTGGCAAAAGGAGGCGTTAACTTAAAACACTTTATTTATTTATATTTATATTATTTATTTCCAGGTACCAACCGGAAACAGTGGCGTGCGCCTGTATTTATCTCACAGCCCGTAAACTTAAATTACCTCTACCGAAAAGCCCTCATTGGTACATCATTTTTGGAGCGACGGAAAAAGAAATCAGAGACATCTGTGTGAAAATCCTGAAACTTTACAATAGATCAAAGGTACGAATGAAATTTTGTCATTAATTTTATTTTTTTTTCATTTTTTATGTATTTTACAGCCAAATATCGACGATTTGGAGAGACAAGTGGAAGAATTATGCGAAAAATACAAATCGGAACGGATCAAGGTTAAAGGAATTAGCGGAGAGAATTCGCCAACAAATGAATCGCAAAATGTTCAAAAAACCTCCGCCCACAACGCCTGGGGTGGATTTATTAGGTGAGGCTTATTTATCGATGTTTCTTTCGGTATTTTAAAAATAAGTTCATTTACAAAAAAAACATTACCTATAATATGTGATGCATTGCATATAATATGTGAGTATGTAATGCATTACATATTATATGTAATATATTCAGAATAGAGCTAGAGTAGTTTGGTCATAGTTTCATTATATAGTTCTGAGATTTCTTTAAAAAACGTTACATCTAATGTGTAATGTAGAGTACGAATGAGCTAAGAAAAGGCCGTGAGCGTCATTGCCTGGCCATTGTTTGTCTCTCTCTCGCACTGGCGTATAAATTTTTTATGAAAGTATCATATATGTAATGTTTTTTTAAACAAACTATGAACTACTCTGAATGCATTACATATTATATGTAAAACATTACCTAAATATGTGATGCATTACATATAATGTGATGCATTACATAGTATATGTAATATACTCCATATTATTTGTAATGTATTCAGAATAGAGCTAGAGTAGTTTGGTCATAGTTTCATTATATAGTTCTGAGATTTCTTTAAAAAAACATTACATCTAATGCATAATGTAGAGTACGAATGAACTAAGAAAAGGCCACGAGCGCCATTGCCAGAATCCTGCCATTGCCTAGGTATTGTTTGTCTCTCTCTCTCTCTCTCTCTTGCACTGGCGTATAGATTTTTTAAAATAAAGTAACATATATGTAATGTTTTTTTAAATAAACTATGAACTACTCTGAATGCATTACATATTATGATATGTAAAACATTACCTATAATATGTAATGCATTAAATATAATGTGATGCATGTATTTAATGTACTACATATTATATGTAATGTATTCAGAATAGAGGTAGAGTAGTTTTGTCATAGTTTCATTATATAGTTCTTAGATTTCTTTAAAAAACATAGTTTCTTTATATAGTTCTGAGGTTTCTTTAAAAAACATTACATCTAATGCATAATGTAGAGTACGAATGAGCTAAGAAAAGGCCACGAGCGCCATTGCCTAGGTATTGTTTGTCTCTCTCTCTTGCACTGGCGTATAGATTTTTTAAAACATATATGTAATGTTTTTTTAAAGAAACTATGAACTACTCTGAATGCATTACATATTATGATATGTAAAACATTACATATTATATGTAAAACATTACATATAATATGTAAAACATTACATATAATATGTAAAACATTACATATATGTAAAACATTACATATAATATGTAAATCATTACATATTATATGTAATGTTTTTTTAAATAAAGCAAATTATTTTTTTTTCTAGTCGATCGGGAAGCCATATGCCTCCACCAATGAGCGAGAAAAGGTCACGCTCCAGGTCGGAAACGCGATCGCCTGATAGGAAGCACAAAAAGAACAAAAAGCACAACAGATCCCGCAGCAGATCGCAATCGAGGACCCACAAGAAAAGCCACAAAAGGAAAAGCTACTCCCGATCGCGAAGTAATTCGCCGCACAAATCTAGGAAGGCCAGGTAAGCTTAAGTGTTTTTTTTTTGTATATTTTAACACACCTTGTATAGAAAAGGGTGTGTCAAAATATGTCTAGTGTCACGTTTCAATGAATCTTTGATATGTATAGGGGGAGAAAGAGGTCGAGATCAGGTAATGATCAATTTTTTGTTGTGTGTATTTTGACGCACCCTGTATACAAAAAGTTTGCAACAAATGGATCTTTTTAATTTTTGTTATACCTGAACGACTTATTATGGTGTTTTATGAAGTTTTATTAATTTTTTTTATGTACAGGGAGCGAAAGAAGTCTAGATCGATCAGTAACAATCCACTTTTTGTTGTATGTATTTTCACGACCCCTGTATATGAAGTCTGCTACACTAATTGATTTTTATATTATTTTTATAATGACTCATTAGACTGGCTATTATGAAGTTTCATTCAATTTTTTTCTTATATACAGGGATAGAAAGAAGTGTAGATTGGTTAGTAAAGATCCGATGTTCTTTGACGCACCTTGTATACGAAAAGTTCGCTACACAAATTGATTTTTTTATTTTATTATTATAACTACTTACCAGGCTGTCTATTATGCAGTGTCATTCAATTTTTTCTTGTATACAGGGACAGAAAAAAGTCGAGATCTGTTAGTAACGATCGCGAGACGAAGAACGATCGCTACATTGACAGGTATGACAAGTATGACAAAGACGCCAAATACAAAGATCACGACAGGGACAGCAAGTACAAAGAAGACAGGGATCGGGATAGATACGATAAATATGAAGACAAAAAGGACAGCAAAAAATACGATAGGGACGAGAAACACAGGGATAGAGATGACAAATACAGGGATAGGGAAGAAAAGTACTCTTCGAGGGACGAGAAGTACAAAAAATCGAAGTACCGGGACGAAGAAAGGTCGAAAGACCGAAGAAGAAGGAGTTAAAAAAGATTTTTTTAGGTGTATATTATTTCTTAAAGTAAATTAGAGACCTACGATGTAAAAAAAGTGTACAGTTAAGTTTTCAAATAAATTATATTTTGATCAAAACACAACTTCTCTTTATTTATTCACATAAACAAAAAAACTCTAAAACCGCCTTTTTACAATCATTATATTAACTTACATGTTTCTGCTCTCTGTTCTTACATTTAGTAAAAAAATAAAACTATACAACAATACTATGATTAAGCTATTATTATGAGCGTGTGTGAAAGAAAAAAATTGACAAAAATTTTTGCATTCCGCACGGTTTTTTACAGCGTCTTTTTTTTATAGTTCCAACTAGATCCATTGAGCCACCCTGTAGATACATTGCACGTAAAAAATCAAGTATTAAGGAAGTTACAATTATATTGCTTTATGTCTGGTTCAGAATTATCATAATTGTAAAGGGTGTGCTAAAAAATAGATGTCATGGTGATTGATCAAATATTTTCATCATATAATATGTGAAAAAAGTGAGGTTAGGTGACAATATATCAAGAAAAGTCTGTATATTTTCTGTAAATCCCTGTATATTTATGAGACTCGCTACATAGACGTAGAATTTCTGAACAACTCGATGACATTTTCCGATATTTTGTTTTTACCCTCAACTTGCATAAATGTACAAGAACTTTTGAAAAAGTGACATTTTTTGAAAATTCCTGTATATATTTATGAAACTTACTACACAGACGTAGAATCAAATTTTGAACAACTTTTCTCTTTGATATTTTTCGATATCTTGTGTCTTAACCCCATTTTTTGCATAATATGTCACAAAGACCTCTCTAATTTACTAAAATGACAGTTCTGTCTTGTCAGCTCTGTCATTGTAACAAATTACAGAAGTCCGTAGTACCTGAAAAAAGTCATTTTGAGATACCTCAAAATGACTTTTTTCATTATTATGTCGAAGAAATTTGGATTAAACCTTTTTTTAATATAACCCGATAATAAAAATTTGTTTAAAACTTTTTGGCGCACCCTGTAAAATAATTTTTGTTACAAAAATCAGTTTCAAGATATTTTTGTTTTTTCCCGTAGTTTTATAAGTACTGTCTAATAATTTTTGACCAAAAATAAACCACTAATAAAAAAACCTAATAATAGCTTCCCAGCCTACTTGATCATACATATTTATTCTTCCGTGGTATTAAGATATTAAAACGACCACCAGTGGCGGGGGGTGGTTATGTCAATTTTTCTCCTAACAGTAATCAAAGAAATATACTCTAAAAAATACCATATTTATCTCAGTGTCGTAGATAGAAACCTGTATATGTTTCCGAAATTTTAAATTAAAACAGAACAAAAAAAATGCCGATTTATCCATCCACAAACACATTTTTTGTTCAACTATACCAACTAAA